ATGGTGGATGGTTGGGTGGTTGGTAGAAAGGAGGCGGATCGTAGCAATCATCTCGAAAATTCATTTTTAATGATTACCATGGGTGGTTTGTGGAAAAGAGGTGAGAAGATCGACCTAACCGGTCTTCACCTAAGCTAATTAAAAAAATTAACTAAAACCGTGCCACTCCCCGGCAACGGCGCCATTTGATGATTGAGTTTTTCGGTAAGTCAACCTTCCCAATGAAGGGTTAGTTTTCTCCGAGTGTCGTGTCTCTCGAGGAGTGGACGAAGGGAATTAGCTAATTTTTCTAACTAGACGAAGGTTATGACGGGTCTGAAAGTCTTCTCGATTTGATTTGAAAATAATAATAAAATAAACTACTGGATGCTTTTGAGAAAAAGAAAATAAATAGTACGGGTATAGGACTAGACTTCGGGCCAAGGCATCATCTGAGTTAACTACTGTTGTCACATATTTAATCAATAATTGGAATAATAATATTTCTGTCACAAATATTTCATTAACTTATCCTCTCTCAAGGCAACATTAATGTGTTCTAAAAAGTTTGGCTTAATTAATTTTATATCCTCATAGACAAGGCAAAAATTAATTTCCAATTATTAATTGATTTTTCTCTCGACATAATTAATTAATTTAACAATATAAATAATTCTAGAACAATTATTCCAACTATTAAATAAATATACAGAGTATATGCCCAAATTTAGCCAAGACCCTAATCTGGGCCCTAACCTATACTAAATATCAACCGTGCATAAGAGAAAAGAGCATTTTATTAAAAGTTGTAAAAATAAACTTACAACCAAGAGCAAAGTCGGAGCCACTTTGGAACAACCGGAACAAAACTAAAATATTAAAATATAACTGAGAACGGGAGCTAGAAATTGAGTCCGGGCCTTAAAAGACCCGGAAGAAGGCTTGGTGAGAATGAAGGGGCGAAGCCCTCCTTTTATAGGAGAAATTTTCGGTCCAGGCCTCCGACAGGCGTGGGCCTGAGGTGGAGGCGCACGCCTGAACTAGTGGAGAATGCGGCTAAGATTTGCACGCAACTTCGGTCATCAAATTTCCATGCTCCCAATATCTTCTCTCTTTTTTTAATTAGATAATGATGATTGATGGCGGCTGACTTTAACTTGTTCTTTTGAGCTTTTCTTTTGCTGCTGCTGCATTTGGCCGGCCAGCCAGGTTGCGCCACGTGGCAGCACCTGGTTGTCCGGATTTTGATCCAGTCCGAAAATATTTTCTAAAAATACAGTCTTGCTCAAAATTCTGTTTTGAACAACTTTTCCTTCTGCGCTGACTTCAAATTTCGAACCAATTTGGGTCAAACAAATTAATTTTGAATCAATTCAATCTTGTTCTTTCCAAACAGTTTCTTTTTGGTGATTTTTCAATCCGTTTGACCTCAAATCTTTCGACGGGGCGCATCACCACATTTGAATGCACATTTTTCACTTCATGGATTTTCACCATCTTTTGTCTCCTTGCTTCGTTGTATTCCATTTGCACAATCTTTTACACTTTTTGTACCACTTTTGACTCAATTTTTATTCTTTTAAAAACTAGACATAACTTTTGTGCACATTTACAATTATAAATAAAAACTTATAAAAACCATTGAGAAATTGATTTGTTTGATCTAAAATTGGACAATAACACATTAAATATAGAGAAGATAAGTGCGTACAAAACGGACTTATCAAATTCCCCACACTTAAGCGTTGCTTGCCCTCAAGAAACAGAGTACAAAAACAAATGAAATTTTGGATCCAAGACATATTAACAATAAGATTTTGGAAAAACTATTGACCACACTTTTAAACAGTTTGTTGCACAAAACTCTTTTACAATATTTATTCTTTACAAAAATAGAATCACTAGAAATAGCACCCTTTTTACAAAAAGTTAGCAAAATATTTTTAATTGTTTTTCTAAAAGATGCACATAAATTAATGTTATTGGCTAAATGTAAAAGTTGTCCATTTACAAACTTAGATACTAATGTCTAAAACAAAAGAATCGTAAGTGTTTTGTAATAACTGTAAAATAATTTAAGGTCAAAGATATGTAAACAATTTTGAAAATAACTTTTCTAAAAATATCATTTATTCCTATGCAAAGAGTAAGTTTGGAATTTTTTTTTTGTAGAACTTCACTTTGACATGTCGACACAAGCAAAAACTTTGATCCTCATCCCATGACATAGAACCACGAGCTTTTTGGATTTTTATTCACTCAAAAGCCTCATCACACGACATAGAACCGCATGCTTTTTGGCACTCACTCAATATAAGTCTCATCATCTGACATAGAACCAGATGCTTTTTGACTTTTCAATTCACTCCAAAACTTGGTCTCACCAAAGTGTGTTCTTTGAATTTTTGATTTTTTTTCAAAACTTACAATGCAATCATTGAAATATCAAATTTTTAGAAAAATATAGTGCTCATACTCAATTTGAAGTAGTGAAACAACATCATTTTAAATGACAAGTTACAAATGTTTGACCTTAACGTATTTTACAAGTTAATGTTTATTCACTAAAACAATGATTTTCTTTTCAACACATTAGTATACAAATTTATTTATTTACAAAACTTATTAAAGTTAGCCGATAAAAAGACTATATGTGCAATTTAAAGAAAAAAATAAAAAATTTTGGCTAATTTTTGCATAAGGGGGCTGTTAAAAATAATTCTACCTATGAAAAGAGTAAAAAGTGTAAAATAATTTTAAAAGTATCAATAGTGATAACTAGACCGATTCAGAGTATTCGGGATCGGGCAGAATGCTGCCAATTAGGTGCTCTTAGGCTCACCCGAATAAACCTTTCTACGAAATGACCCAGTAGAAATTGTGGGACAAGTTCGGCTCCCGAAAGCGTCACCCTTTGTGTCCACTTAAGTACCATTCCAGCTTAGACAATCATTCCGTACACGATGCAGAGATCACTATTAATATACAAAATGCTACAAAGTGTATAAAAATATTTTCAAAAAGTTTTCCTACACAAATAAAAACATTCTATACCAAACTCCAATCTCCCCACACTTAGGGTTGACCTCGCCCTCGAGGTCATTAAGTGATAAAAACAAGAGTTTGGGACAGAGATAATCTCAAATTTTTTTTTCTTTTGAAAAAAAAAGTTTTTACAAAAATTTTATGCACAAAAGTTAGTCATTTCTTTTTTTTGTTGAGTCAAAATGGTTCACCAGCATTCCTAATTCCAAACTCCACCTGCACACATAAACACACAAAACGCGTAAAAAGGAAAAAAAGAAAAAATAAAATTTATTCATTTGAGTTGCCTCCCAAGAAGCGCTTCTTTAACGTCACTAGCTTGACGTTAGCCCGTTTTTTACGGGTCTTACCGATCCGAGAGTCATAAAGTTTAACCTTTTTGACTCTCTTCTGATGCCACCTTTATTCTGTTCTTTTGCAGTCAAAGTCCAGGATCTTTGACTCATTCCTGTAGCGTGGTGGCAACAGGAAAAATGAAGGAGACTCGTCTCGGATGGGTGGTGGAGGGAGTCTCCTCGGTGTATCCACATCATTGGCCTTAATTGCCAGTACATGGCTCTCCAAGTCTTCAATGGGCTGACTTTCAGTTGCTGGCTCGATGATTACAACATGTCCTTCCCCTGAGTCTTCAGTGATAGTTTCTATAGACGGAATGGGTTCAGCATCACAAGGTAATTTCTCGTCTATAGTTTTGTCAGACTCATCAGTATTGGAATCAAGGGGGTCGGTGGTGGGCTCAGATTTCTCCAGAACAGGTTCCTCTGGAGAAGTGTCTTCAACACATGTTAGGAGGACATGTTCCTCCAACGTTTCTAGTGCAGCTGGTGAAGGCGGTTCTGAGACAGGACCCTCAGTATGCTTCACCTCTTGTACGATTTGACTTTTCGGGCTTTCAGGAAGCATCACCACTGAACCTCGTGCAATCATTTCTGCAAGTGTTATCTT